CATATTTTTTCAAGAAAGCAACTATGTGTTTTCTTTATACCAATTGATTCGTCTCATTATTTTATGCATAAAAGTATTAAAGTAAGCTTCCCAAAAATTGAATGTTTTACAAGATATTTTGTATTTTATGTCAAAATACTGTAATTTACAAGCCTCATAACTCGAAAAGTACTTAATGAAAAATAACTTCATTATAGTGTTTTGAAAAGCTCTTGACACCAGCTATTAGATTTTGGAATCAAAAATAGGGGTTTCCATTTAAAAAAATAACTCTGACCTTCAAATGACCTTGAAAATTGACTTCAAGGTCAAAGTCACTAGCATAAATAGGTGACCCCCATTGTTCTGAACAACTTTTGTCTGAACCATTTTTCTGTATTTGGCTTACTTACGGAGTTATTTGCGTGGATAGATTAAAATGGCCCACCCTGTATATTATTTATCTATTATTTGAAACTTTCCATATCAACAATTGACCATTTTATTGTTGTAACGCAAGTTATATACATTTTACTTTTTATTACGTTTTAAATTAAAATAATGAGTTTATTTATATTTATAAAGTATACAAATAATATTTATTGTACAATATTTTGTAGAAATAATAGTTTTGCATTGTATTAATAATTAAAAAATTTTATTTAAAATATAAAAAAGATATAATTTAATAAAGGGTGTAAAAAGACTTTAGGACTTAGAAAATAGATGATACTGACTTAGTAAAAAATACTTAATTCAACGTAGATTATTTTTTTAGAAATAAAAGTGATTTTTAGTACTATCTATTCTTTAAGCCTTAAACTCTGTTTTTGTGAACAGCCCTGTAGTTGTGTGTCTATAAAACATTGCTAAAAAATAAATAATATAAAATTTAGTATGCAATTTAAATTTGATAGTATTGATTACGTTATTAAGATTCTCATACGCTTGTATAACATAGAAATTATTAAGAATATAATTTAGAATTATTAGAAAAATAAAAAGCAAAAAGCACAGAATATATTATCTCAAGCAATTGAAAACGTCGAGAAATGTATGGAATTTGTAGATGATACTTTAAAGATGAGATAAATCTTTGGATATTTCAAACATTGTAAATTATTATTTTTAAATAATTATCTTTTTTTATATTTAAATTTAAAATTTTTTTAAATTTATATTTGACGTAAAATATGTAACGAAATAACGATACAATGGTTATAACACAATGATGAATCTGTAATTAATATTCGAATTCATCATTTTTTTCAGCCTATCTACAATGCAAATGGGTATAGAAATGAGGCCAGTGTATAATTAAAATCTAGACACAAAGTCCACTTTTAAATTTTTAATTTCCTCATCACGCGCTTATAAATTGTCAGCGTGTCGCAAGCTTAGAGCAGTATTGTCGTTATCAAAGTAGAGAACATTAAGTACTAGTAGTAAGTACAATATTTTTTTTTTTCTCAAAGTGTTATTACTTTGATACAACTTTGATATCATTTTCTTGTCTATTCTTTCAGTTTTACGAAAAAACCGAGGAATAAGACACTCCGTTACAATATACTAATACTTTACTGCAACAATGGATGTGGTTCCAGAAACAACTTCGTACTTATCAACCATAATTTTTTCTCTGCTTACTGTACTCGTTGTGACGCTACTCGCAGCGTATTATTACATTGATACTTCTCGAACGATTCGTCTTGCAAAGAAGTTACCAGGTATATACAAATACATATAAGTGTTTACTTATCTTCAGACTTATAATTTTTGCCAATGTGATATATGTTAATATTTTGTTACAATAAAATCTTGATCAACATACATTTACATTTAAACAATATATATTTAATCATATTAATTTGCAAGTAAATTTCACATTCACATTTCAATTTCTACTTTTAGGTCCGCCAGCCGTACCTATTATTGGTCACGCATTATTATCACTCGGACTGACTCCCGATGTTTTTCTTACGAAAGCTTTCGCATTCGCAGAGCAATATGGACCGGTAGTAAGTGCACGTTTGGGTTTAAGAGTAGCAATTTTTCTAACAGAAGCACAAGATATCGAAGTAATCTTGAGTAGTTCTGAGCATCTCGACAAATCCGTGGAATATCAGTAAGATATCAAATTAATAATAAATTAACTATAAGTGTAAAAGTGCGAGCTTTATTTTTGACAAAATAAAATATTGTTCTAAAAGACTGTTCAAACCATGGCTTGGAGATGGTTTGTTGATCACAACCGGCGACAAGTGGCGCAAACATAGAAAGGCAATAGCGCCCACATTTCACATGAACATCTTGAAAACATTTGTACCGTTATTTTATGAGAATAGTATCGATCTCGTAAATCGGCTTCGCGATAAAGTTGGAACGGAGTTCGATTGCCATGATTATTTATCGGCTGTAACGGTTGATATCTTAACGGAGACGGCAATGGGAGTGCGGAAAGAAAGAAGGCCACAAACTGGATTTGATTATGCCTTAGCCGTAATGAAGTGAGTACTGCTCCTCTAAACACTTGTACTATTTCTTTACCGCATGTAAAGAGCACACTGCAGTCTCACTGCGCAATCTTAATATTATAGATTATCCGACATTGTACATCGAAGGCACTACGATATAACCCTACGTTCGGATATTACTTTTCAATTTACAAAGCTTGCCAAAATGCAAGAAAAACTACTTAATACCATTCACACATTAACCAATCGTGTGATTTATGAGAAATCGAATGATGTGGAGGAAAAAAGTGTGAGAGATCAACAGCAAAAAGAAAACGGCACATCAAAGGAAAGTTTGACCGAAAAGGTGGATAATGCTAATATGACCAATTATAAATTGCACTACGTGAGAGATGATCTCGACGACATTGATGAGAACGATGTAGGTGAGAAGAAACGACTTGCTTTCCTAGAAATGATGATAGAGATGAGACGAAACGGTGAGCAAATGACTGACGAGGAGATCAAAGAGGAAGTGAACACTATCATGTTTGAGGTAGAAAGATACTCACGTTCGATACGTTTCTAAATTTATTTTTACAACGAATTTTCGAAAACAGAAATTTTTTAATTATTCTTAAATTATTAATTTCATGCATTAAAATTAATCATCGATTCGTTACAGGGCCACGATACCACAGCAGCTGGCTCAAGTTTTGCACTTTGCGTGTTAGGATGTCATCCAGATATACAGGTACATTTATTAACAATTCATACAACTTTTTTTATTACATAACGGATCCTGTGTATGTGTATCAAATAATATTGTTTCATGTTATATTGCTTTGATTAAAATGCAGTTATTTTAAAGTAGCTAAGAAAGCGATTAAATCTCTTCGATCTTCGGACTTTTTGACGCCGGGAAAAGCCATTTTTGTTCCCGGAATTATTTTGCTGGGAGATTCGAGATAATCGTTTAAAGTCTTTTCATCCCATACAATGGCTTTTTCTTTTATAGGTTTTGTGTAATTAAATCCTTTAATAGCTGTATTTAAAAATTAGACATTTACTCATGCTACAATAGTTGAATACCATCAGTTAAGTAATAACTTTATCCAGTTACTTATACTTATTGATTAAAATGATTGTAATGATACATGTTCCTTTCTTAAACTTACTTTCGATTAAACTAATTTGTCGTTTAACAAATCGTAGAGCGTTTGATATACTTACTTCCAGAAGTTTTGCCCATGATGTCATATAGGTTAGGCCCTGTTTTATGTCTACCATACTTCTCCGTGGTATGGCATTTAACACATAGTTTCATAAACAAGCTTTTACCGTTGGCCGCATCGCCCATCTTAGTAAATTCTTAATTAAAATAATAATTCAATCGCGCGCACTATTGCAATTTACGATGTCTATTCTTTATTATCTATCATTGCTTATATCTATCACGTAGATCGATACTGCTCAACTTCAATACGTCGATTTAAATTCGATGATTTTTATTTGCGTAGGCTCGCGTGCATGAAGAATTGGATTCAATTTTCGGCGACAGCGACAGACAGTGCACTTTTCACGATACTTTAGAAATGAAATATCTCGAAAGAGTTATTTTAGAGACTTTGAGACTTTTCCCACCGGTACCTGTAATTGCTAGAAAACTTAACAAGGACACAAAGATAGGTAAGCTTGTGATATTAACAATAATATATTAAATAATATATTGTTATATATTAAATAAGTATATTTTATAAATATTATACACTATTACAATATATTTTATCAACTTTCTTGTGAATTATAAAGGAAGCACATATTCAATCTTTTGCATATAATAGTTACAGGCGATTACATTCTTCCAAGAGGTGCTACGATAGTAATTGCGCAGTTATTAGCGCATCGTTCAGAGAAATACTATCCGAATCCTTTGGTTTTCAATCCAGATAATTTTCTACCCGAAAAAATGCAACAGAGACATTATTACGCTTATATTCCTTTCAGCGCCGGGCCAAGGTATTTAATAAATATTTTATATAACACCTATAATTTTCTTTTCAATTATAAGATTTTGTTTTGAAAAAATATTTTATGCAGCAAATATATTATTACACATTCACTGACAATGGAATATTTTTCAAAGGTCCTGCGTAGGACGGAAATATGCTATGCTGAAGTTAAAGGTCCTACTGTCGACAATACTGCGGAATTATCGTGTCATCTCCGATAAATCATATACAGATTTCCAGTTGCGAGCTGACATTATTTTGAAAAGAGAAGACGGATTTAAGATCAAGATCGAGCCGCGCAAATAAAATGTAGACATATTGGTATAAATTTTGGTAAGAATTTTATTTCTTATATAGTACGCATTTCTTTCGCATAAATTTGAATTTGTCTTTAATTATTTGCTATTTATTTTTAAGAATGATATTTATATGTTACAGTTAAATATTAATATATTATATTATAAATATTGAAAAATTATTAGATGTTATTGCGTATTAATGTTGTACTTATAATTTACTGATATAATTAAAAAGCAAGTGCTATTTATTTGTTATCTTCTCAACATTTACATTAATTATAAAATGGATGAGGATAATCTAGGTATAATATATCTTTGATTAAATAAAACGTATGAAGAAGTTTGCTTTATTTACAATTAACAGAACTTACGTAAAAATACATATGCGCAATGATTCTTTTTAAATATTATAAAATTAATATTTTTGAAATTTTGCAAATTATTCTTGTCTCTTGCATGAGCATAAACCTCTGATTTATTTTAAAATACTCAATTATACATAAAAAAGATTGAACACTACAAAATATAAAATTTTCTCTATCTTAATGAAAAAAACCTACACACATAAGTATATAATTGCTCCCAGGTACTTTAAAAATAACTAAGATTAGCGGGCATATCGATAAAGAAATTGCACAAATGCAATTTATTCTACTATTTCCTCTCTTTCACTTGAATAATTAAATCAGTGCGAACTGTTAATTTAACGCTTCACCCTTCTTCATTTCTAATACGCGCGATAACCGGATCGCTTCAGATTAAAGTAAAGAATTTGTGGTAATTTTCTGCGCGCGTTGCTTCCGCCACTGTTTAAAGTCCACGAAAATGAACTGCAAAGCCCAGGGTATAACGAACGCACCGTTTAATATTAATAGAGAGATTTGATATATATCGTAGCTATTAGTCCAATCCTTAATGAGTCCTGCAAGATGCACAATACATACGCGTAATTATATTGCACACACACACACACACACATATATATTTATATCAAAAATTATAATATTGTCTTACCTACGATAGCGCCGCAGACTATTCCAATCATTCCGCTGATAACGGAATAGATACCATAAGCCAAAGCGAATTTCTCTATGCTGGTATTTTCCATTATGACTAGAGGCTGCAGAACCATTAACCACGATCGTACGGCGCCGATTATCGCTGTCATAATAAACACACCCGTAATCGTACGCTGGTACAGCAAGAAACCTGCAAAAATCGTGATTTGTACATGTCACTTTTAAGATTAAAAATTTCTAACAATTTATTCACAACTATTTCCGCGTAGATATATTTACCTGTTCTTGCGAATCCCATGCAGATTACGGCTGCGAAAAATAGGTACTTTGATTTCACGTTCACCATCAATGCCATAATTGTGAGTAAAATTTTCGACATCATCTCAGCCACTCCATTAACTGTGAGGGTCAATGAGGTTTGATCAGTTGTATATCCAATGTCAGACATTATAAGAGGAACAAAGGAAGAGAAAGCATAATCGGCGGTGCTCACGGTGCTGATCCCCAAACATAAGTTTATAAAACAGTAGTCCTTTATCAATGACATATCCAGAAAGTCCTTCAGAAAGATCCGGCATCTTTAGCATTGATAAAATAGATCAGATTATAAATCACACATATAGAAAAAAAATTCTTTTATACATTATCCTATCACGGATACAAATTATATTATTCAAGTCTGAAAATGGAAAAATGATTATTAGTTGTAACAGAAATCTAAGGATACCGCGAAATGTGCAAATCAATCACACAAATCTGATCGAAATTAATTGTAAAGATTATGCTCACTTTGTTTCCTCTTCTTCTTTATTTTCGTCATCTTGTTTTTCTTCTACTTCCGTCTCTTTCATTTCCATGTGCTTCTCTCTGCTCTTCTTCTCCAGAGATTGTCGCACATCCCCTAATGTACTAGCACTGGTCGCCACATTGACCAAGCTGGACGCCGACAGAACCGACATACGCCGCACTAAATTCTCGCGCATGGATAATGATTTCGCCCTTCCGCGGATGTCCTCGATTGCTGAGATTGACGCGACTCGGTGCGCGGAAGTCTGTCGCACAAAGTCGGTGAATAAGTGTGAATTAAAAAAAAAAAACTTTTATTATTTAGAATTTAGTGAAAGAAAGATCTTAGGTTGTACTGAATTTTTCATTACCTTAAAAGTTTCGCTCAGTAAAGGCACTTGATTGCTGTTTTCTTCTTTAAGACTACGGAGACTGCTCCATCTAGTCTTGAAAGACTCGTGAATAACATCGATAGTTGATCGACGATTTGATAACGCTAATGCTTGAAGGTTTCGCATTCTTTCGCGCGCTCTCTCAGCGCGAATCTCCTCCGGCTTTCTCGCATGCCATTCCACAGGATGCATCAGCATCATGCCGACGACACCGTTCAAACTCAGTGCTCCCAAGATAGCCGTGGTGCCTAACGTAAATAATGAATAAACATTAATTATAACATATTTATAGATTTCGTACTGCGCGAATCTTACCGCGAAAACCGTACGTTGTCATCATCTTTCCAGTCAAGTAAGGAAAAATAATTCCGCCAAACGCAATGATCACTTGCGACGCACTCATCACCTAAAAACAAAAAGAAAGAGGTCAGGAGGAAAAATGTTTCCAACATTTTTAAATGGAACTGAACATTAATCATGTGATTGTTTTACTTTTGTTCTCTTTTTTACGAAGTACGAGTTGAAAACCGTGTTGCAAACTGTAATGATCAGACCAAATCCAAAACCTTGGAAGAAAAAGAGGAAAGCCATTTCATATATGTTTCTGACGAATGCCAGAATGATATCTGGTATCGCGAAAAAGAGTGCTCCTGCGATTCCGACTGGTCTTGTGGAATATTTTTTTAACAACGTATTAGTCATCAAGCCTATAAAGAATATGTTTTTAATGCATGAAGAAATAAGAAAATATTTTAATAACAAAAATGCAACTTTATTTACGGAATATAGATTCTATTAAAAATGTTCAAAGAATCTCAAAAATTTATAAATTGAAATTTAATATTAAATCTTTGTAAATATGTTTTTGTAAATATCTAAATAAAAGATAATAAAGATTTTTATCCGCAATGGTCTGTTTTTTACAAATTGAGGCTTTTTTTACTAAAAATTTCAATGTGAAATAATAACTATTTATCTATTATTGGATTATAAATAATTGAGTAATGTGTTATTGTATTATTATATTGACAAAATATGCTTCAATGAAATTATCACGCACGATGTACGCGATAACAGAAGATCTGAAAAATTAGTTTCGGCTAAACTTAATCTTTCATTCAAAGATTTTGAATTAACTACAAATAAAATTTTTTTATCTTTATTCAGATAAGATTTCCATTGATAAGAGAAGTATTGATAACATTCGCGATTCTTCGAAGAAATTTTTGTTTGATAGTCGTAATTTGTTTAAAGAACATGTATAGATACGTGTGATAGTATGATAACAGTAGGTGTGACAAAATACACTAGAATTTCTTGCAAGCAGACTCGACTGCAGATTCGTGTACCGCACGAAACTTTTATTTGACGAAAACTTTTATATATATATTGCACGTCATAAGCGTCATCGAATTGAAACTTCATTAATCGACTTAATCCTCCATACAAAGACATTGGCGCCAGTAAAATTACATAAAGCTAATGTCATCGGCGTCAGCGATAAGAGCAGAAAATCGTACTTATTTCGAGAGTTGCTAAGTCTTTTTATCACAAAAACAAAAATAAAAATACAGATGCAAAAGCAAATAAAAATGCAAATGCAAATTTATTAGTGCACAGATTTCGGAGAAAATCTTGAGAACACGAAAAATGCATACAAGTTTTTACCACAAATACTTTTTGCAAAATGTGTTTATTAGATTTGCACATAGCAATTTCAATTAATAATTCTAAATAAAATAATCAAATTTTATCATTATAGATACACAAATACTTACTAGCAATAGCTTGGGTGATCATGAAAACAGAATTGAAGAGACTTGTTGCCATACCTTCCTGTCCGGAATCTTTGAGGAAATCGGTAAAGATTAAAGTAAATGACACTGTTGGGCCTATCGTGCTAATCTGCAGAAGTTATCAATCAGATATTTATATTAAAATAATAGTAAAATAACAATTATGAAATTATTTGTTTCTATGTAATTAAAGAAATTCCGAAAAAAATTTTATAGATTATATTAATTGTGTGCAAACAAATAATTTCTATGTTTCAAAGACTATTGTTACTATACATTGTTATTTACTGTTATTGTTATACTAACAAAAATTAAAATCATCGCTAATGCAATCATCCATCCCCAGCCACCCTCTGGCGCTAGGTCTTCCGGTGTAATTTCATCTTCTTCGTTCATTAAATCTTCCATCCTTGTGATTGTGCTCCTCTTTTTATTTTCGACATCATTGTTGATTTCTGTTGTCGGTTCACTTATCGTTGTGCCATTGCTTTTTGCCACTGTCATTATATTATTATAGTCTCTTCTTGAAGGTAGAAAGTCAGAATCGCTAAAATTTAATACGCACAATTAATTGTGCTGATTTGTCTAAATTTAAGATATTCTATTTTTAGCCAAATAAAATGTAATAAGAAGTATGTAATAAACAGTAAACGTAAATAAAAATCTATTTTTACATAAATGCGTACATTTCACATTAATTATTATTCAAAATTAATTTAATAAAATTTTATTACGTATTTATGTAGAAATAGATTTCCATTTACGTTTACTGTTTATTAAATACTGTTTATTAATTTTATTAAATTAATTTTGTATTAATTATTATTTTATGATCACAATTCTTTGTAAATAAACATATATCCATCATGTAAGTACAATTTATTAAAAGAATAAATAAAAAGTTTAGAATTGTGCCGACTTTATCAAATGCAGGGTTTTTATACATATCAAAATAAATTTCCGCGCAACATTTAACACCGAGAAAATATATTTTGTACTTACATATTTAAAAAAATATATATTTTTTAACGTTCACACAGCAATCGAGCGAATATATAAACAATTGCTTTGCTCTGACCGCGTAGCGCTTTGAATGGTTACTGATCACATATGTAGATATTAAATATCCATTAGTAATATAAAATGCAAGTAGCACCTTCTTTAGATAAGAATTGTTTAATATTTTTATCATTGTTAGCATTATTAATGTGTGACAAGTGTCAGATAACAGTAGCATCTTTTATATGCAGCATCTATATTAAACAAATCATGCCAAACAATACTTCTGTTAGAAATAAATACGTCGGTTAAAGATAAGATTTAAGTATTTACCCAATAGTATTTTTCACACGTTATAAATAGGAGAACTTGAACGATCTCGACTTCTGCGATAATCGAAGGTAGACGATTTCAAACTAACCACGGTACGCCAGAAACAATTTCGAAGACTCTCTTATCTACATACGAAAGTGTCATCGTATTAAATACTCATTCTTAGACTGAAATGAAATATTGCTACTGTATCACCTGCAATTACGGATTGCACAAGAGAAAAAAGTGGAAAGCTAAAGAGTGCAAATAAAATGTCACAAGTGCTCTCTTGCACGAAATACGCAACTCAAATAACTGATAATTAAATTAAATTGTCAAAAGTTTTATGTAATAATTAATTGACTATAATTAAGAACTACTATATATTCTATTAAATATGTTGAAAAAATAAACGAAATGCATCATAAACATAGAACCTCCACAGATTGAACAACCCTTGTGTATTTATAAATGCCAAACTTTTAAAATATTTTTTTAATGCAATATTAATATATAAATAAAGTAAAATTTAAGGTATAAGATTTTTATTTAACTAATGTGTGAGAAAGTCTGAAACAAAGTCTATAAAAAAGCGGAAAATAAAATATGCTAATTAGCCAACACCAGTTGTTTGTGATGTAACTTAACACTTACATTCAGAAATGTTTACATACGTTTCGCTCATCTGATAAGACAATTTTTAATGTATGCAGAATCAAATTAATTCAAATAAAGTCTATAAAAATTATATAGAAAAATTTAGCAAAAATAAATAGTAAATCTTATACATACAAATAATAAAAAATTATTATAAGTTTAGTAATATTAATATTTATTAATATTTATCAATGTTATTAATTTATTATTAACTTGCCAGTATTTATCCTTAACAAAAATACAATATAACGGATCAATTTTTATCTGTAGTTGACGTTTATATTATTGTTATACTTATAATTAATTTGCATTTTGCTGGTTAATTAAAATACATTTTAATTTTAATAGTAGCAACTTTATTTCAAAATAAGTAATGTTATTTCAATTATAAAAAAATTAATATAAAAGTAAATTAAACCTGACCGACGTTTGCCATGCATACATTCTATATGTGACAGTTGCATAAACTGAGGCGCAGTCTGTGTTATATAATGTTTAATGTGTGCGTGTTATAAGCTCTATGTAAGTTTGTGTTACATGAAAAACATGATTGTCTATTTTGTATAGATTTTGCATAATGTGCTAATAATACAAAAAATTGTTGCTACAACTTTTATAATTATATAATCTATTTTATAATCAGTTTTATTATTATATAAACGTACAATGTGATTTATCATTGTCGTATATTTTTATATAAATTTTGTCGCATGTTTTGGCACAATTATTGGCTGTGTTGAATAACATTTTGCGAATAAGCTTGGCTTATTTTATCGTCTCATGAGTATTATCTATATATATCTATGCAATGTGGACACCGATAAAACGTCCAACGAAGGTCGGCTAGTATTGCAAACGATTCGCTGACCACAGTGGACACGCGCGTTAGCAATTGCTCTGCCAATTAAACCGTATCCACTAATTCACATTGGTAAATCATAAAAACATCTGCGTTTCTTAGCAAGAAAGAAGCGAACAAGAAAGAAGTACGTAAAGTGGAACGAGATAATGTGACTGTGAAACATTATCGTGAATATTTATAATATAATAAAATTTTTGCGATTAAGGTCACAAAAGTTTTACTATATGTTTATTAAAAAATATATATAAATTTTATGAAAGTGTTAAAAGAATTGACGGAAAATGTACGAGTGAAACAAAGTGATACAATTGTGTAAAAAAACTCGCAAATAAATTTTTTTTTCAGTCAACAACTATCAGTGCAAGACGCTTTATACTTGTCACGTGTACGATAATGTGATATAATTTCTATATTAAAAAGTTATGAGAAAATACTTCAATAATTAAAAATAGCACTGATTTATAAATAATCCTCAATGTTACATCATTTATTCATTAAATTTAATAACAGTTATTGTATACCAAAGCAATTATAATTATAATTTTCTTCGCTATAATAATAATAATCTTCTTCGCTGTTATCTTTTTCACAATATAATATTAAAAAACGTATAGAGTGTTTACATGCTTTGCTACTTAAATACTTAAGACTTTATCAAT